TCCAACTCCTGGGCTCAAGCGAGTCTTCTGCCTCAGCCTCCCAAGTAGCTGGGACCACAGGCACCCGCCACAACGACTGGCTATTTTTTGGTTGCAGCCATCATTGTTGTTTTGGTGGGCCCGGGCTGGATTCGAACCTGCCACCTTATGTGTATGTGACTGGTGCCTTAGCCACTTGAGCCACAGGCACCAAGCCAATTTTCATTCTTTATTTTTTTAATTTTTAAAAATGTTTTGAGATGGGGTCCTACTATTTTGACCATGCTGTTATTGAGCTCCTGGGTGCAAGCCATCCTCCTGCCTCAGCCTCCTGTGTTGCTGGGATTATAGGCATATACCACTGGGCCCTAAATTTTATTATTATAAATTATTAGCAATGAATATCTTCACACATTTTATACTTTTATTTGATTTTTATTTTTAGGAGATCTGAGAATTAGAATTTTTAAGTCAAGGGGTAGTTTGATGGGGAAATAAAAGTAGGTAACAGGAGAAATAAGATTGTAAGACTAAGAAATATTTCAGTTTTATATTTTGACTAATTCAGCCAAAAATTATATAGACTTGCTCAGATTTTCTAGGTGTACAGTAGTTCATCTTCCTACTTTGTTAAATGTTGTTTTCATGTGACTTTAGTTGACATTTAAAAAACAGAAAAAAATGGTGTGTTAGCAGAAACAGGGCAAAGAGAATACTTCCTTTTTTTTTCCTTACAAATGCATGTATAGATACCACCCCATTAATTTTTCTATTACAGTATATAGGAAGAGCTAAAATGAAATCCTTTGAGAAACTTACTTGGAGGCCTGTGATTTTAGTTGTGTCATTTCCCAAAAAAGGTCAATTTCTTCTTGTTCTGATTTTCCTATTATAAATAGAAGAAATAAAACTTTAATTTCAAAATCCTATAAAATTATGAGATTTTCATCATATGTTTATACTTTTTATATCTTTAGTATTTTAAGAGCATCTTTATTAAAACAATATTCTCTAGCTTCTTTTAATAGCTTTTGAAACATTTTAAGCATTTATATTTATGCAAATGTTGTGCCCACCCCGGGGGTCGCCTACCCAAAGACCACTCACAATCACAAATCGATGCAAAAAGCAAGAGGAAGGTTTATTGCTGGCGCGTCAGGGTTCCTCAGCCACAAGGGGGAAGGAACCCTGAGAGGCTGTTACAAGCTGCTTTTAAAGCGAAAAACTACATGCAGGGGGGTGAGGGGGCGTTAGGTCTGAGGCGGTTGGTGATTGGGGAATTTATAACTTGCAGGGTTGCTGGGCAGTTTTGCTCTGGGGACTTTTTGCGACGGTTATTTTTAGCACGGGTATGAGGGAGTAGGGAGGGAGTAGGGTGTTGCCTCCAGGTGCAAGAGTCTGATATGCGGGTAGAATGTTTTCATTGTTTTAGGGCCTCCTTACTGCCCTGTGGCCTAACACTAACAGGCACTTATATTTATGCTAACAGTGCATTTTAAAAGTTAAAAAATTTCAGCCCACTTTTAAAAGTGTAATTAATCTAACTTAACATTGTAATGTACTGAGATTTTATATTTGTAATCATACTGATGAACAAAATTGAGTAAAAGTATCAGCATGGCAATGTCATCTAAAGGTTTGATATGTTTTGTTTCTGTACAGTTGGATCCCTATGACTATGAAATGATTGAAGTTGTCCTGAAGGTTATAGAAAGAGCCGACGAAAAGATAACCAATATTAATATTAATCAGGTATAACAAATTAAGAAAGATTTAACAATCATCTTTCTATTTTTATTTGGATAATTCATCTTACAGTTGTCCAGTGTCTTTCTGTATTATACTTTGAGCTCTCTCTCTTTCTCTCTCTCTTTTTTTTTTTTTTTTTTTTTAAACAGAGTCTCACTCTGCCATCCTGGGAAGAATGCCATGGCATCATAGCTCACAGCAACCTTAAACTCCTGGGTTCAAGCGATCCTCAGCCTCCCAAGTAGCTGGGACTACAGGTGTGCACTACCACACCTGCCTAATTTTTATATTTTTAGTAGAGATGGGGTGTTCCTCTTGCTAAGACTGGTCTCAGACTCCTTAACTTGAGCAATTCACCTGCCTCATCCTCCCATAGTGCTAGGATTATAGGCATGAGCCACCATGCCTCGCCTAAGCACTCTTTAAACTCTTTACTTTATTCTAGATCTATTTCTTTAAAAGGAATACAGAAGTAAAAACATGTTTATGCTACCTATGTTTATCATTTATTTATCTTCATCCCATTTTTACTATATTGAAATGATTTAAACCATTTCATTTACTACCCAAGAGTAGGAAGCTAATAGAGGACTAATTGTCAAGAAGTAAGGCAAAATATGTATATATATATACACATGCATTTTTTTTTTTTTTTTTTTT